AAAGCGGAAGAGGCTTTCTTTACCAAGTTACACATGGCTGGCACCTGCACACTGAGTTAAACCTGAAGCCACCTGCAAGGCCAGAGGTCAGGAAGTCTTGGCACCGTAGAGAAGAAGAAAGATTGTCCTGGTGAGCCACACCCACATGTGCCGAGGAAATGCCCAGGCCCAGCCCATCCCAGAACCACTCAGGAGCCCAAGACCACCAGCCACCACGCAGGAGGAAGGCAACCCTGAGGCCAAGAGCAGGCCTGTGAGTACAGGCCTCAGCCTGCCATCATCTCGGGCACCAGGGTACAGCAGCCCTCCCTCGTCATGGCAGAAGTCACTCAACTGCTGAAGAGGGAAGGCAGCTTGCTGGGTGGCACATTTACACCCCACAGAAGGACCTCGCGGTCACTGTGTGGCCTGACTGAACGGAGTTTCCATCTGACCTGCATTTCTCAGATCACCTTGCACACACAGCTCCCCAAACAGGTTTCACCAGGAAGGACCAGAGCCACAGGGGAGTGAGTCTGGCCAAATCCACACGTTCTATGTGCAGGCTGCTGGTCCATCAGGAGCCTCTGGGACCTTTCTCAGAACATCCTGCCACTGCCCACACCTCAGCCAGCAGTTCCCAATGTTGCCCAGGCAGCCTCAGTACCTACCACCTTGCTTCTGGGCAAGCAGAGCAGCAGCCTCACCACTTGATCCCAGAATTGGCACCTTCCCCAAGTGACTCTTGTGCCAGAAGGCCTGAGACCGGCAGCAATGAGGAAGGTACTTACTGCCCACTATTCTGAACACTTCCCGGTCACCTATTCCTATTGCACAGTGCAGAGGAGCCCACCTAGCAGGAGCGGGCTGCAGAGCCTGACAGCAACCTGAAGTCTGAGCAAGCTGACCTCTCTGAGCACCCCCCTTGCTGGAGGGCCCAGAACAGGGCTCAGCATCTCCACAGTCTTTATCAGTCTCGATCTGTTTCCACTGAGCTTGAATGCAGCTCCGAGGGAGCCACAACTCCTCACCTAGGAGCCTTACTCTCCTTAGGAAGTTCATCTTACAGTGCCCTCTGTGGACTGCCCCACAGAGCTTTCCCTGCCATCCTCCCAACTGCAACTCTGTGGAATGGCCTCTGAACTGCAAACTGAGGGGAGGCAGCAGGGAGTGCGTGTCCCCAACATCTACCCACAGGCTCACCAGGGACCTGCAAACACCTGCGAAACTGCGGGCCTCATGTCAGTGCAAACCAAGCACACTTCTGTGCCCACTGTCACTCCCAACAGGAGGGACAGGGCAGGAGCCTGGGAGAGCATGGTCAGCCTCCTACCCAGGACTCACTACTCAGGGAACATCCACCAGTGTCCTACTACAGAAGCAAGCCCAAGGCAAGCTGCACCTGGGCCCACGTTCTTGATGACTGCCCACCAATGGGAACCCTCTGTGATACCACACTGAGTAGAGAGCTGGCCTGGGCTCCACACTGGGTGAGAGCTGGCATCATTAATGGTAGTCAAGGAACCAACCAGATTGGTTCCAGAGACACAGACAAGGGATAAAGAGACCCATTTATACAGATGACTTAGGACCCTGGCTACACCATTTCCAGAGGTTTTGAAGGTTTCCTTTTTCTAGTCTCTTTTTTTAGATATCAGTCATTCAGCACTCACTATTTACCACTCACTATTTAACACACATCATGAATAGCATGCACTCCTCAAAAAAGGCCACAGGATATGAATGCTATCCCTAATGCAAAGTCGAGAAACTGAGGGTCAGACAGCTTCAGTAAATTAGTGAAGGACACTAAGTAGAAAGAGGAAGAAAGTAAGTCTCACTCAGTGACAACAAGTGGGGACTGTGTCCTTTCCCTTCACATGGGTGTCTACTAGCCTCTCAAAAAAGTTGCTGGTTCCCTAAATCAGCCAAGTCAAGAACCAACAAGTCTGAAGCCTCCACAACTTAGCCCTGAATTCCTTCCCCAATTGCACACCTAAAGTTCCTCTAATTAGTACCACACTCCAGTCCCTGGAGGTCCCTCCCCATGCCAGGAACCCCTCCCCCCAACAACACCTGCAAGAGGCTGCTCCAGTCCTCCACCCAGGGACCCCCAGAACAAAGGCTTAGCTCCCACACCAGCTCCCAGGAGGGGTGATTCTGCAGGCCCTGGGCCCCCCAAGGATGGGAGCAAGAGGACAAGGCACATGCCCAGCCCTCTCCCAGCACAGCACATGGTTCTCCCACTGGAAGCCCTGTCCTTTCCACCAAGGCAGCCACACTTCACCCAGAGGCCACTTCATTTAAACAGAAATGCCTTCCTCTCTTCTGCAGCTCTACCCACTGCCAAACAACCCAGGACCCTGGGGAGATTTAACATGATTAAAATTTTAAAGCATTTGAGATGCTCAAAGGAGTGGCCTCATGAGTGCAAATCATAAATGTAGGGGAAAAGCAAAATATGGGGCAGGGAGGCCACCACAAACATGTGAAATGTTAAGTGAAACTGCACATAGATTGCTTTAACACACATCCTAAGCCTCAGCACAGAGTCCTGAGTTTCACAGCAAGTGCAAGGGGGTCGGTTCTCAGCTCTCACTCCTGCCTGGTTTGTTAAGTCTGCAATCCAAATGAGCTGACTTTCTGGGTTTTCGGAATGCAGAATAATAGTTCTGTGATGAGTTATTTAACAGGCAGGATACGCAGTGAAGAGCCCAGGCCACACTGCTGAAAGAGCAGAAACCCTCGTACATGTCCCACAGACAAGCCCCGAGGTATAATCCTGAAGCCCAGTGCCCCATGAAAAACCTCAGGATGTGGAGAAATTGGATGAATGTGGAATCAGATCCCAGACATGAACAGTAGAAAACAAAGAAAAAATATAAATCCAATTATCTCTTTAAAAAAAAGTACAGTATTTAAATTCTGCTATTACATGCATACGCCACTATCTTATTTATGTCCACAAGCTGAAAAAAACACATATTTCCTTTCATCATGAAGAGACATCCATGTTTAAACCCAGGGAAACAATCCACAGAAGACAGTTCTCCTGTAGGTCAGGAATCCAAGACAGCAGGGTCCTGTCGGGTCTCCAGAAACCAGCTTTGGTCCTCCCTTCTTTATGACAGGGTCCACCCAACTGGGCCAAAGAGTCTTCTGCAATTGCAAAAGCTCTGGCATTTATTTACTTCCTCCCCCTCTGGGGGTAGGCTTTAATTTTCTGGTTGGTAGAACAGCATCCCAAAGCACCCCAATCCACATGTAAGTCACCTCCCTACTCTTCTCCCTGATCTTCATCTGGCCATAAAGATTCCTTGGACTTTCCTCTAAGCTAAAAATCACAGGTGAAGGGTGTGAGGTGAGGGGTGTCTCAAGGCTTGGACAAGAAGGCCCTGCCCACCAGCTACAGCCCCTGGCTAAGGAAGCAGCCCTGGGAAGCTGACCCCACAACCTGCCCTTCTAGTCCCCTGTATTATGGCAGTGGCAAGGCCAAGGGGTCTCACCAGCAGGCCAGGCTATACCACTGGCCAGAGCAGTTCACTGGGAAGCCAAGCTTGTAAAAATCATTCCAGTTTAATACTCTATGGTTTTCAAAGGACCAAACTGCTTCCAAAGCCGCCTGCTCTGGATTCAAGAATCAGCAGAGATTCAGCTTAAAGGCAGGGCTGAGAGCCCAGGTCAGCTCCTGAAAGCCTGACCATCCTTACATGGAGACATCCACCCCATACTGCCCCTATGAATAAAGCTACCCATGAGATTCACCAAGAGCTAAACCAGACACTCCACCTGCCTCAGTCGAGAACTGCAGCTGGGAATGAATGAATGCAAGCTAAAAGGGATGGCTAGAGACCACCAAGTCCTGTGTGAACATGGTGGCTCAGATTTCCCCAGATGTCTGCTCAAGCCACATTAGTCCCCATGGAATGGCTATAAGTTCATTTCCTCACTCTTACCCAGAGGAGTTCCACCTCTATCTTGGGTTCCTGGTGTCACTAATGAGGTTTACAGTACTTTGGAAAAGATAAGATTGCTTTCAAAGCCGGTAGTAAAACTCCAAAAACCCCTCTGACAAGTAGGGCAGCTCAACAGCACAGAGGCTGGCCAGGTACAGGATGGCCTTACGGCTTCTGGCGCTTTGAGTCCTCGGATATCAAAATCCCACTGGCCGCACAGTGGCCCCCGTATTTCCCATAGCTTCATGGCTTGGCCCTTGGCGCTGGCAGAAAACACCCATCCAGATGGACCGGGAGTGGGGCTGGGAAATACAAGTGCAGGAGACCCAATTGCCGCGGGAGGCCAAGGGCTACTCTGCCACGCTAGGCAGAGAGAACCTGGGCCCGCACAGCAGGGTTGTGGAGCCCGCGGAGGCCAGCCTGGGCGGGGCGGTTGCATGTGTGGCTCCGAGTATCTGTGCCCTGCGCGCCAAAGGGCAGATGGGGGCCAGACAAGCGACCACAGCCTGCAGGGTGGCCAGAGGCAGGCGCGAGGGTTTGCCGCCGCCTGTACCAAGGGGCCAAGAAGAAACTTGGACTCCTGACTCCTAGTGTCCACGCCGCGCAGGAAGGGCGGCCTCTCCTTCTGCTCGCTGCGCACCCCTTTGTGCTCCCAGCACCCTCCCCTACACTCCGCGCAGCGCAAGCTGCGCGGGGACAGGACTCCAGTCAGGTGGGCAGGGGTGCAGGGGGTGGGGGGAAATCAGGTGAACAGGGGACTGTGGGGGAAACAAACGGACAGAGGTCGGGATGGTGCATAAGAACAGAGGCCCGGAGAGACCAGGTTAACAGGAGCCAGGTGGGGCACAAAGTGGGCGGGGGCCGGGGGGGGAGAGCCAGGTGGACAGAGGCGGGGAGGGGTGGAGACCAGTTGGACAGAGGCCGGGGAGGGGAACCAGGTGGACAGGGGCCGGGGAGGGGGACCAGGTGGACAGAGGCCAGGGGTGGGGACCAAGCGGACAGGGGCCGAGGGTGGGGACCAGATAGGCAGGGGCCAGGCATCTGCGGGCCTCCGGTGCCACTCACCTTCCTGCCCGCGCCGCCCGCGGCCAGCGCGGAGCCGCCCCCCGAGTACATGTAGTAGGCGATGCCCAGCACCCACAGCAGGGCGAAGCACAGCAGCATCCGCGAGCGCCGCCGCATC